AGGAAAGCTCCATGGTGGGAGATTAGCTTCTTCTAAGACCTATTGTTCTCCCTAATAGTCCATTGACTTGAATGGGCCCTTGCCAGCCAGCCAGCCATCCACACTGACAGTCTTTTGCCTAGTGGGCATTCCCCAGGTGTAAACACATTTGTAATAGAAATATTGTCTATATATCTAACTTCAGATACCAAAATGATGCATGCATACAAGTAGGATAATCATATTCAGTAAATCGTAACCTTTTTCATGATATCTCAGATTCCTTATCTTGCACAAAATACATCATAATTATTCCATACTCATATCACAATAATATTACTATAAAAAATATGGAGTGTAATGTCACAGTGACCTCTTAAGGTCCCAGTGGGTTGTAGCCCACGAAAGCTTATGCTCTAATAAATTTGTTAGTCTCTAAGGTGCCACAAGTACTCCTGTTCTTTTTGCGGATACAGACTAACACGGCTGCTACTCTGAAAGCTTTCAGACATCAGTTCATAGAAATTTAGGGATCTTATTCTAAACTATTGCTATCACCACCACTACTAAAATGTCAGAAAACTTACAGCTCTTGGATGAAGAACAGCTGGCTCAAGCTGAACCCAGGCAAGACTGAAATGATGCTGTCTGGAAAGGGGAAAAAAGTTATCTTCACCTTCCTTTGAAGACGTGCAGCCCCTATTCATCAAAGTGGTGTGAATGCTAAGGGTTCCTGTTTGATTCCTTTCTAAATTTGGATGACTAGGTAGTATTGGTAGGTAGAAACGTACTGCTAACCCCATTTTACAGATGGAGAACTGAGATAACGAGACTGAGGGCCAGATTTTTTTTAAGATACTTAGGTGACTAAAGATGCACATAAACATTTCAAGTGACTTGCCCAAGGTCAGCGGGGAAGTCTGTTGTAGAGCAGGGATTTAAACCTGGGTCTCCTGAGTTTGACCCCGCAGCACCTTTACTGTTGGACCATTCTTTGTCTACCCATGAATTATCCTTCCTCTAGATCTGTGTGTAGGCATGAAGGAGGCAGAACAAATTCCAATGGCTGGAAGTTGAAGCTAGACAAATTCAGACTAGAAATAAGGCACAAATTGTTTTAACTAGATGTTCATAATGGTTCCTTCCACTACTGTCACTTTAAGTTTGTGAAGGGGACTATTTCACAATCCCTGACAGTTTGTGGCAGAGTTTAGAATGAATCTTTTAGGAAACTAATCCATCTGAAGTAATTGAAATGTTAACTCATTTTGCTAAGTGTGAATTTATTTGCCTTTGAAGCTGCTGCAGTAATGTAGCAGTAGTCTCTTTTGCATGCTTAACATTCTGGCTTTTGTTCTGCTTTTTTTTGCTTTCACTTACCTTTTGTTTCTATTTCCTTGTTTCCATTTAGTTGTTGTTCAACAGTCTCTCTTACAGATATGACTAGACTAACAGTCTGACTCTCATGCAAAACTAGCACTCATCTTAGTGAATGGCATACAGTATAAAGAAAAGCCAGTGTCTCCCTGATACAAACAAGTGAAACTGCTTACTGTACCAGATTACACTGTAGCATGGCAGAGAAGATGGTATTTTTTACTGCTCTAAATTTCTTGGATGAAAGGAGCTGTAGGTGCTGCATGTTTTTATAGTACATAGTAAATAACACACAGCCCGTTGACAGCTTATTTGGAAAGGTAGGCTGAACAGAACCAGGTCCATTATACATGATGGTCTAGATTATTGAGACAGCCCTTCTGTGCTTGACAGAAGGGTGGTGGTGAAGAACATGTGACTTTATGCTCTAATCTTCAATCTTGGAGTCATCATGCCAGTTCCAAGACTCAATATAGAGCAGCCTCAGGGCAGCTGCAAATTATGCCCATTTGTAACAGCCTCAAAGTGTTGTAACAACTGCCAGGGATTAGCTGGACATAGAACCTCCCTAGCCCCAACTCCTGTGCTGGGAAAGGGGAGAGAGAAGGAGCCATTCTGCTGGCGCTGTGCTTGCTAGTGATTTCCCCCCACACTGAGAGTTTGCAGGTTAGGTCACTTTTCCATTTGCTTGGTGCAGTGCCATAAAACAGGCAGAATGAGGGCCAGGATCTGGTCCAGTGTAGCTGTACATCAGCATATTGAGTATTAATTGTGAATCTTGCTGGACGTATATTCCAGAAGTAGCTCTCCAATTCCGAAGAGGCAGGGAGTTGGTATCTCTTTAAAGAGTGATGCTGCTTTTACTCAGTGATGAAACTGACACAACTGGAAGTATGAGTGTTGTGAAAACCTTTCCATTTGTTGATGCAAGTGAAAAGCTTACAGTTTTCTCATTGATCCTCCATTGCCATTTTAAATGTACTTTCAGTTCTAATTAGGCTGTTCTTTGTGTACATTCTCATGAGGTCCTGAAGCATAGTTTTCAAGCACTATTTAAATGTTTTGGTACCTCTGAATTCTTTAAAACAGCTTTTAAAAAAAATTGGACTATTGGAGTAGTTTCTTACCTGATCATTTCCTCTCTGCTAGCAGTGTCTCCCATAATTCTGCTCTCCCTGGATGTCTTCCTAGCCAAGGGATAGTATTTAATTTTGGTAGTTATGCTTGTAGGCCATAGCCTATTGTACATAATTTATGGGTTGGCATTGAAGCTGTTATTACTAATCATATTGTATGAGTTTGTACACGGCTTTGGAATGAATCATGTGGCAGCAGGCTGGAGAAGAGTGTGTGGGTAGCACAGGGTGTGCTACAGCTTTGAACTGTCTCCAGAAACTACAGGCAGGAAGGGAATCGCCCATGTGTATCAGAATTGTGGGAGATTCAGCTAGCAGAAAGGAAATTATAATGTAAGACATTTACCATTCTTATGTATCCAGCACATTTAAGGTAGTTTAATTATATTTTTAAATTCTGTTTTTGCCTATTGAAGTCCAATTTCATCCAAATAAAGATTGACACAGATTATTAATCTAGTAAATAAAAATACATCATGCATCACTTTCTAACAGAATTAAAATGTAAGAATTAAGAATCTTAAATGTGTATAAGCAATATAATTGCTTTAAACATGTATAAATACACACTAATCTCCTGGTTTACTCTGAATTTGGTATTTTTTTTAAAGGCTAGAAGTAATTGCAAATCAAGTAGTCTAAGATAATGCTTTAAAGGTTACCAACCAATGAGAATCACCCTTTCTCTAGGAGCATAACTAAAACATCCAAATGCAAAGTAAGACTAAAATTGATGATTTAAACCAATGTTTCCTGATTGTTGATTTAAATCATGATTAAAATCAATTATTTAAATCATTTTTACTTTAATCAATCCACTATGTCTAGATTCTTGTATACTTCCTTTTTAACTCTGAATCTGATCTCCACTTAACTTATAATGAGAGTTTTGGCTAATCGTTCTGCACTGTGAGATGGCAAGTGAGGCGAATATTGGGAATAAAATGTTTAAAATGGCTACATGTCTAAGCTTCCCAAAACAGTGGGTGTAAATGACAGCTGTTAAAAGAAAATGTAATAAACTAAAAATGGTTGGAAGTATTTCATTGCTTTTCCTTCCTTCCTCCCATACATCCTTACAAATACGTTGAGTCTTGTGCACTCTGTTTCTCCAAGGGATAACAATCTTCTTTTATATCTTTAAACATTGGTAATGGGTACCCTGGGCTTCCTATGATGAAAGACAGCCACCATGCCTCTCATCCAATGCAAGGCTAATTTTAATCAGTATTTAAATGAGTTTTCTACTTTATTTCAAATAATCAAGGAATGACTACAGTAATAAAAATACTCATACTTTTTTGCGGGGGGAACTTTTCATTGTAAACATCCCAGCCAACATCCTTGAGCAAAAAAGTAGGTCAGATTTGAATAAATCTACGTAAGTGTACATACCTTTTAGTTAATCTAAATAAATTTGCATAACTATGTATGTACCCAGTGAGGGCACCATGCTAGGGAGGAGAGGGCAAAGAGATGTTTTTAATTTTGTCTCCCTCTTCCTGTTAGTGAAGGGGAATGATGTAGGGTTCTCAACTGGAAAGACAAGAACCCCTGTTAGAGGCAGGTTCAGCTTTTTTTTTTTAATGGCTGGGCGAGCGGTGGTTCATGATCCAAAAGCTTTTTTTCTGTTGTAATGTGTGGTCGTGGTATGGGAAAGGTTGAGTACCACTGATCTAGAATCTAGTGAATAGCTCTGAAGAAACAAACTGAGAACTATATAAACTGCATTGTTATGGCCTGGCTTTCATTAATCTCTGTCTAGGTAAAATGGGTACTTTATGCTGGGTGTCATAGGGTTATTTTTATTATATATCATCCTTCTTGCAAAAGAACACCTTTAAAGTGTACTCTGTAAAATGCTCAACCATTACTCTCTGTAGTGAAGGTGGTCCTCTTAGGGGTCAGATTGCTCAAGTCAAATGACTGTAAATGAGTTACGTGCTGTCAAGGCTGGATCCCCACTTTGAACTTTAGGGTTCAAATGTAGGG